GCAGCTGGTCTGATTATTTCCTTAGAATGAGCCACTAAATGTAGAGTGGCTAGGTCAAAAGTATACACATCTTAGAAATTCTGGTAAAGTATTGCCAAATTGCCTTCCAAAATATTTGTTCCAGTTTACACTCCCAGAAGCAGTGCACAAAAATGTGTTGATGTTTGCTTGTCACATCTCTCAAGGGCATGTACTTAATATCTTGGATGTGCTCCTAGTTGAGGGAGAACTGGGGAACTTTTATGAGAAACCATACATCTTCAGCATGACCCCGGGGCTTATCAGCTCTGTCCGATCAACATCTATTCTAGATGTAACTCCAGAATCTATCTTTATGACCTGAACTCTTTATTTTATGTGAAGAATGTTTTATACTTTCACAGCCCCTGAAATACTATGGAAGATTAAATAATTCTTGTTATTTGCTCTAAAGACCAAGAGCTGTAACTAAGTGCTAACTAAGGATTTTTGGAAATCACTTGTCAAGTGGAGGATAGTGTGTTTTGATAAATTAACTGCTCTCTGAATTAATGTAGGATGCAGTACAACTGAGTTTACATGCATAGCAGTGGAGAACAGTTCTGACAATGACTTTCAATCAAAAATCAACTGTATTTTTAGAGCAGAAGTTCTCAAACTATGGTAGCAGCCGCATCTGGAAATTTGTCATAAATGCAAAATCTTTGCCCCTACCTCACTTACTGTCTTAGTTTGTTCAGGCTGCTGTAATAAAAATACCAGATTACAGGGAGAAATTTATTTCTCGTGGTTCTGAAGGCTGGGAACTCCCAAGGTCAAGGCGCTGGTAGATTTGGCGTCGGGTGACGGCCCTCTTCCTGGCTCATTGAGGGTCATCTTCACTGTGCCCTCTCACAGTAGAAGAGGCCTCTCTTATAAGCCCACTAATGCCATTCAGAGCTCTATTCTCACAACCCGAGCACCTCCCAAAGGCCCCACCTGCTAAGACGTTGGGCATTAGGACTCAACATAAGAAGTTTGGGAGATCATAGACCTTCAGTTCATCGCACTTACTGAATCAGAAACTCTAGGTGTGGAGCCCAGCGATCTGTTATTTAACAAGCCTTCCACAGGATTCGAACGCTCACAAAAGTTTGAGACCCACTGCCTTGGTGCACTGGGCGTTCCGGTTAGGCCTGCTGGGTGGACAGGCTGTCCTGGTACAGTCATCGCGCCATGGTGCCTGGCAACCAGCCAGGGCCCGAGGAGTAGAGTTGGAGGGCACCGCCGTGCGCTGTGCTAGATTCGGCCAGGGTGTGTGAGTTACACTTGGCAGTGCAGTAGCCGTGTCCTGTGCCCGAGGACTCGTTTGAGTGGCTGCCTGCCCACCGTCTGCTCTTGTCACGTGGTCTCAGCGAGGTTCTGTATTCACCTAGCCCTCGTGTCCAGTTATGACAAGAAAAGCCCTTGAGAGATCATTTAGCCTCATTCCCCCACCAAATGAGACTTACCCCTAAGTCATTAGTGACAAATGAGAGTCCAGACTATTTTTAAAGACATCCAGAGGGAAAAACTTCCTAGCTGCCCCTAATAATCCTCCTGCCCTCCCAACAAGTCTTTCCTTCTCAACTCCATGCTTGCAATTTGAACCAGTTTCCTATTACAAAAATGAACACTTAGCCTTTCTCTCCTTGAGGCTGACAAATCACAGAAGTCTGTGAAGCTTTCCCATCCCATAGGAGTCTCCTGGCATATATCTGATCACATTTGTGGTTCTGCAAGTTCTTCCAAGGCCTTCATGCCTGGCTCTGGGCACCAGGGCTCTCTGAAAAGTTTACTGGCTCTTCGTGCGTTGAGAAGCTGGTACTGTGGTTCTTTCTTATAAAGCTGGGTTTGTGCTCATTACCATACCTTAATTCATTTGCTCATTCTCTTAATAATCATGGACTTCAGCAGCTGTTAGATTGAACCCTATGAAATTGCTGATATGGCTATGTCATAGGGTTCAACCTAAGACCATGTGCTAGTCATTATGGGGGAGACAAGAAACAAATCAAGAAAGGTGTGGGCCATCCTCAAGGAACCCCCCCCCATAGAGTGAGGAAAACAACCCTAGGACCAGGGCAGTGAACCCCAAGGGAGAGCAGCAGAGGGTCCCAGGGCAGGCCTTCAGAACAAGAGACAGCCATCCTGTCAGGCTGGGAGGCCACACGAGGCTTTCCCAGGAAATGACCTTGAGACTGAGTTCCAAAGGGTAAAAGTGCATTTCAAATGGCTGATCTGTGGTCTGCTCTCTGCCTCTTACAGTCTCTGCAACATAACTAGTTTTGCTGAATACAAAATACGATACTGCTGGTTTTGTGCATTTTTTAAGTCGTTTAAAAGTCACTTAGGGCTACCAAATATAATTGTTTGATCCTATTTTAATTTACTTGCTGAAACTGAATACAATAATTAAGCTTTGAAATGAACTAAAGAAAATATTATGTGGCCAAATTAACAGTTATGACTCAGCACTTGAATATCTAACTAGAAAGCATTCTCAGGGTAGCCATGTGTGGGTTAAAAATATAAGTTGGATGGCAGTAGACCATCCAGAGATCTATTCCCCAGTCTGTGTTTAAAATACACTGGAAATGAGCAGAGTATTGTAAGAATGAAGGGTTGGTGACATCCTCCCCATGGACTGCCTCACTCTGTTCCCTCTTTGTACTGGTTATGGGGCACAAATGATTCTCATTAGGAACATAAACATCACTCCAGACTCAAACGCAACATTACAGCTCACAACTGAAGTGCTCCCTGTCGTAAACCTCTTTGCTCTCACTCACACTTATGAAAGTCATGCTCTGAGATCAGAGCATCCCTGCAGTCTCAAAAGGATATTCTCATACTGTTGATTCTGCATTCGAAAATGAGAAACTGTTTCTTTTCAGGGCATGCTATAAGGATAAAATAAAAGCACCAGTGGCAATTTCTGACTTGATACAGAGATTCCAAGCAGTTCATAGTTTATAGTTTAATTTTTTTTTTTTAAGATTTATTTGACAGAGAGAGACAGCGAGAGAGGGAACACAAGCAGGAGGAGTTGGAGAGGGAGAAGCAGGCTTCCCGCTGAGCAGGAGCCCGATGCAGGGCTCGATCCCAGGACCCTGGGATCATGACCTGAGCTGAAGGCAGATGCTTAACAACTGAGCCACCCAGGCACCCCCATAGTTTATAGTTTAAAAGGAAAAGACAAAAGATGGTATTGCTTTCTTGGGTGAATCCAAAAATCCCTCTTTAAAAAAAAAATGTTCTAAGAGTGTTCAATTACTTTGCCTGTTAAGAACAGTATCTCAGGTGCCCACCTCCAGATACAAGGGATATACAATCCCTATTCCGTGTACTGCTTACAGATAATACAAACCCAAGCACTAAATATAAAGCTGGCTTTGTATTTAAGATTCAAAAGTTGCATTTTAGTTTAGGTTTCAGAAATGTAGCATCCCTTTGTAACTAAATATTGTTTCTCTTGGAGTAATAAAAGGATGATAATCTTATTCTGGGAAATTGTGAACAAAATACAATTGACTATCACTGTAATGCTCTTTCAGCAGAAGAGCAAGATGCTATAAAGGTTAAGTTAATGGGCGCCTGGGTGGCTCAGTTGGTTGGGCGACTGCCTT